GCTGCCCCAAAGCGTGACATAGCCTCTTCTATTTTTTATTTTTTACAGATTGCTGCAGATAAAACTATCAGAATAAGAGACAAACAGAGAAACAGAGGAAGGAACTGAGGGAAATAAAATTTAATTTAGGGAGGTGAAGCTAAATAAAAGTCAAGAAATTGAAAACTAACACTAGGACAGTAAACAGTCTAAACAAGAATCTACAACTCCATTGAATCAGAACCCTCATTGTACTCAGATAAGAATGAAAACATGAGCCAAAATGCAAGACTACAAAACAAAATCTGGAAAACCATGACATGAAAGGAGAAATGAAAGACTTAACAGCATCACAAGAACTCAATATTTCTACAAAGATAGCAAAATTTGAACCCACAATTCAACCAAGCAAATATATGAATCAACACTTAAAATAACAGAAAACCCAGTCAAAATCTCAAACTCAACAATACAACAAAGAACTAAAAATGACACCAAATCCAGCACCATGACCATCTTCAGCCACGTACAGCCGCGCTTATGAGAATAAAACCTTTCTTGCTATAGTGTCATCTATACTCACGTTATATCTTCAAAGTGCTTTTAAATGACAAATCTCTCATTTATGAAACCCATGAAGAGGAAATGAAGCGGAAGACAGAAACAGATGTCGCACTTGAACTCCTACATACTTTAGCGCATGACTCCATGTGGCAGTGCTTTACGAGAGCATTTTTCAGAACACATTTTCTCTGACTTGAACATGTCGAAGCTGAATGCTGCGAAGAACCATAAATGAGAAGTGATGGAGCAGCATTTTGCAGAACACAATTGTCCGTAGAAGTTGGACGCTTTTAATATGGCGCCCACATTATCTGATTGAAGCGAGACGTGAAATAGGTCCTGCTCTGATGTTGCTTTGATATAAACAGAGCCAGTGAGGCCTTTGAAATGGGTCGCCTAAATGAGTCATCTGCAGATGGATGCTTGTCTGATGCGTTTCTCATGTAGTGTGAAGTCCTTGCATAAATTATAGATGTGTGAGCCCACTCGGTGCTCGCTCGCTTGTCCTGATGCCGAGCTGAAGCATTGATGCTGCAGAGAACACAGAGACTCTTACGAATTTTAGATTCCAGCTCCACTCCTAACATGCTGCAAAGCCCTGTGTGAGGGCTCAGAGTTGGATCAATATGGATCAATGTTTTTGTTACACATTAGAGAGGCCTGCTTTCTCCAAATTTGTGATTCTAAAACGGAGACAGTCCACCAAGTTAGGAGAGAATCGGGATAAGGAAAACAAGCATTCATGTTATTACAGACTCAAGAGAAGAAAGAGATATGCTATTTCATGTAAATTATAAGGAAAAACACATCAATCAAGGGAAAACTTTATTACATGATAATACATTTTGAAGCAGGTGACACTATCTGTCAAGCTATCCATTGTGGTAAAGCCCTTATGATTAAAAGGAGTAGCCAAAAGTAGCTTTTTATAACATTTGACATCATTTGAGAACTGTATTTTGGCTGACACCCAAAGAGAATAGCAATTTGTAATCATGGCCAAATCTTATTGATGTGCCACCCACCTAAAAATTACTGCATAACAAGTATCTTCCCACATGACAAGGACTCCCTTCGACCTCCTCTAGCCCAGCCAAAGGCTGCATGCACAAATCTGAAATAGCCAGTGCTTACTGGTTTGTGAGTCCTGCTTTGAAACCTTTACCTGAGCATTTAAGCTCTTATAATCTTGTTTTTTCTGTTTTGTAAGAGGAGGATCTGACTGAAAAACAGTGGACAATTGCATGCTTTATCACATTGTAGCTCCAAAACATAACCTACATTTAATTTACTTTATACGGTACCATAATTTTGAAAATGAAATTTGTGTTGTATTAATTAAGACTTGAAGGTAGAAACTGAATTCATAACCTAAAATGATTATTTTTCAATAAAATCACACATTTATTCAGCAGAGGGGACAATTTTCCATAAACATCTATAAACTGCTTTCCTTTTTTGCAACCAAAGGAATCACTTTGCCATTGCCTTTATGATTTAGAGGGAACATCAAGCTTTTATACACAGTTTATGAGCCAATCACACTGTAAAAACGTCTTTAAAATGTCTAGCAACATTTTGAGGAATATGACAGAGTGGTGACAAAGATCCTAAAGCACTGGTCCTGCTTCAAATCTGGGGCAGAACATGTTTTTCTTCAACTGGTCCCATGTGGGAACTCACAGGACTCAAAAATTGTCCAGCTTCTACACATTTCATTACATCAGTGGCTCTAAAATTGCCCATGAATATGAGGCAGACAAAGTGCTTAAAGTGTATAGAATAAAGCACTTTATGAATCTATGATCGAATTAGGCTTGTAGTCTAAATCACTTTGCTAAATCGCTCCATTTAACTGCCAGTCCTGTCCATTACAGCACACCCCAGATGCCCTCTGTCCATGTTTCAGTGGGTCAAAGCCATTTCAGGAGGCAGCCTGACATTTTCCACTGTTTGAAATGTTATGAAAAAATACCAGGTAATGGAAACTGTGAAAGTCAGGACACGATAGGGAAGATAAAAAAAATGTTAGGATAAAAGTACAAAGTTTAAAAAAAACAAAACAAAGTTGGGTGGACAAACTTTTGCACATCACAACTGATGTTTGAAACACCGACTGCTGCAAGGTTTTATTTTGTTTTTTAACAGTTCACTTGAAAAATCAAGATAATACACACATTTTCCACAGATACATAGAAACACATCTTTGAGTGCAAGTACAACTACTACAAAGCATAATAATAATAAAAAGAAAAGAAAAACAGGCTTAGATTGTAGGGACAAGTTTCCTTCATGTGTAGTTGGAAATGAGATCAAGCTGGATTTTTTGTTGCTAATAATATGCAGCAGTAACAGCACAGAACATCCTAGATGTTGTAATGAGAAATAGGTCAATATGAGACCCAGAAAGATAAGATAGGAGTTTTGATTCAAAGTCAAACCTCTGTTATCTGTAGCACCAAATCCTGCAAAGCTGTGTCACTCTTCAAAGAAAACAAGAGTCAGGAGGTTGACAAGCTGACAGCAGATTGGATGCTTTCAGTTTTAGAGATATTTTAAATGTGGCGTAAGATGAACTATTACAGTAGTAAAACGTAATTCTTCATGCAGACCTCCAGTTGACATTATTTAGGAGTCAAGTGAACTTGTGCCATCTCTAAATTGGACTTCTTTCAGTCAAATTTATTTAAAATAAAGAGCTGTGCACCATGAATTTGAAGACAATAAGTGAGGTTTATCAAACAACAGGAACAGATGACATCTGAAATCTGGAGAAGAAAAGATAAATGTCCACGCTCCCTCGTTAATGTGGGAAAAGCCAGAGGAATATATTTCAAATGTCAAAGCGCATGAGAAATATCTCACTGCCAGTTCACACTTAGAACTCATTCATCTAAAATATGGACAGCATTTTAAGTGGGAGGACCATGTACAGAAAACAGCCCAGCATTACCAGTAGGAGGAGCAGGAAGCACAGGAAGTACCTTGCTCTCAGTACTTCAACCAGACAGGAAGGGTTACAGCAGTATCCGCATATATTTCTGCATGTGTCAGCCTCCAGCTGCCTCTCCAGAGTGAAACAACATAACAGCGGTGCTGGCGCAGGCTGAAGTTCAGGGCCTGAACTGATGCTGAGGGCCGGTCCGGGTTCATATGTGCCGTGACTGTAAGACTCCTCCTGAAGTCTCCAAATCTCCCACTCAGGGAAAGGGGTGGTCTGTCGACAGAAGGGGCACTGAAGCCGGCTGGTGTCCTTGGCCCGGCTCATGATGGCATCTGTACAGCGGTGACATATTTTGTGGTTGCAGTTGAGTAAGGTGACACTGTGATCGCCGCGCGAGTCGAACAGCTCGCTGCAGATGGGGCACTCGTGCCGACTGCTGTCACTGCACAAACTCCTGACACTTTCACTGCAGCCTGGCTGATCCCTGCCAGACAATTCCAGGTCTTGTGGAACAGATGTCTTTTGGTCAGTCCCATCTGTCGCTGTTTGTGCGCCCGCTTTGTGATTCTTGTCACTGCTGTCCTGATGTTTGTACCCAAGCAGAGGCTTTATCACTGAGTCGCTTACATCTTCTGTTTTTTCTCCGTTGGATTTGTATGCTTCTCTGAAATAAGCCTCCTCTGTAGCTGACTGTTGATCTTCTTCCAGTGTAATAACACCTTCCTCCTCAGTGTCGAACACTTTTGCTTCAGCCATCCTTCATTAAAAAAGATTTTAATACAGGCAACACAGCTCTAGCACACAGTCGACTATGGCAAGTCTACTTTCTTCCTGCACTAAGCGGGCCAATTACCGATGTAATGCTTTAGTATAAGGAGAGCAACACAGTTTTCCCACCTCTAACTGAGATAAGAAAAGTACATTCACAGATAAGGAGTGCTAAGAAATAATGTGCACCTCAGAGAAGTGCCACTGGCCAAGAAGAACAGTGAACATTTCAGCATTATGCTCAATTTAACATACTAACATATTCACTGCAACTGAAAGCTTTTGCCGGCTCACAAATGCATGAGTAAGCACATTAGAGCATAAGGGACAGATTTATTCTTCATATTTATACAAACATCACATCTGCAGATTAGACAGGCACAAAGCACATGTTAAAACTGAGAAGGTAGGAAGCAGTTTATCTGATATTCATAACAACTATTGTGCTTTAACATTGCTGCTTGTTTGCTTTGAAATGTGTCTTCTCTCATCTAATGCAATCCAACAGAAATTAAAAGTGCAGAAAGCCACATCGGCACATGCAATAAGACATTATTATAACCTTTATACAGTTAAACACTATAGTGTGTAGTAAAGACTCCTCACAGTACTGCAGTCATCAGTGATTACATTGGGAACATATGTCCAGATTAATTAAACACCCAAGTGTAATGTTATATATAATATAATAATAATATAAGTATAAATATTAGCATTCTATGTATTAGAGCTATTTGCTTTCACAATCTTAAAAATATCCTAAATTTAATTGAGCATCAGTGTCTTATCACATTAAAACAAATGTGCAGCAGCAAGCATTTGTGACAGTGCATTATAAATTGCAATTATCAAATCACACCGATATGATCACTTCATCATTTGCAATGCATTATATATATGAACAATTATTTTGTTAAAAAAACAACAAATATTTCAGTGATATGCCCGCTATAATCATGATTTGCATATCAACAAAGAATCACATGAGCACATGTAGGTGGAAAAGGTCAGAGCTGCTGAGAATTACTTGCAGAGCTCCATTTCACCTCCGTGTGTTTGTCTAACAGCTGTTTGTTGTCCTCTTCTCTCTCACTAAAAAAAATGACTGCATGCTAACTGTCCAGGAATAAACAACAAGCAGCAGTTCTGGCACGAGCATTTAGTAGCTGTAAGGTTTTCTCAGATGTTTGTGGGAACCAAGTCATCATATGAATGACATAATATTTCACAAAACCGGAGTCATAAAGAATCATTTGTAGCCATACAACCAACAAACAGATGACGACATGGGTCCTACTAAGCAGGACAAGCAGTACCTTGGAAAACTGTGCAAATATGTAGCCAGAGGAAGTAGTGTTGTTTTAAAAGGAAAGAGCACACAGACCAAACACTGATTTGTTTTCAAGCAGCAGCTTCCAAGACAAAGAAATGTAGAACAAAATGTAAAAACCTGCAATTCTGAGCTCCAAAAGTAAATAGATTCCCATAGACATTGAAGCTAAAATGCCTGGATTTATGACACATACTTTTGGCCTGTTGCTAAATTTTATTTTGGTCTCTATCAAATATTCATCTTAATGACAACTGTATGGAGGGTGCAAATATTTTTGTTCTGAGGCTTAATGTTATGCGAACACAAGTGACCATAACTGCTAGATGTCTACCTGGCTTCACCTTAGCTAATTCGAGTCATCTCATCGAACCTCTGATAGATAAGTTTAATGCTAATGCTAGCAAGCTTGGTTAGCAAGTTGCTTCTATGGACAACACAGGTATAATGCACACACCTTAAAGTGCTACAAGATAAAGGCAGAACCCTTTTTTTTAAATCAGGCTGTAAACAAGGTTTCAACACAGGAGTCTGTGGGGATTGAATTATGTTTGGAGCCAGCCTCAAGTGGCCACTAGAGGTATTGCAGTTGTTGACACATTGCATTGCATTTGTCTCCAACTTCAGAGGCTTCCTCTTGGTTGAAAACTAAAATAAAATAAAATAAGACTTAAAAATTGTTGCATGGTCCTTTTAAGTTGTTGTGTCACACCACTGAAACAAAGAGACCATTGTCAGCTGGCTGCTGAGTAACCTGAGAAATCATTTAAAAAACAAACACACCTGCTCTTACACCTGCAGGTCAAACACAGCCAAGGTTGAGTACACATTAAAGATGTAAATTTACAGTGTGAGGCATAAGAGCATAACAGGAGAGAGGAAGTAATAACTGCATTCTGAGGCAGAAGAAGGAAGCCTTTCCTATGATCTCAAACTCTAGGCAGACCAAAAAACAACAAAACAGAGAAATTCCCTTAGTCAAGAGCAAATATTGGGATATCTATGTATATGTTTCACAGTTTATGTTATAGATAGTTGGCCTTGTGCAGAGTAAAATAGTTTTGACAATCAAACAGTCAATAGGGGATTTCTGGTGTCAAGGTATTGGTTGTTTAGATGTTTGTGAAATCGCAGTGGCACTTCAGGCATTGATTAAGGCTGGAAAGTAAAATTACACACATCAAAAATACCCCAAAAAGAGGTCTTTAACAAGACAAGGTTTGAGTCCTTTACAAAAAATGCATATCTAAATTGCTTAAACTTGCCAGGCTTCTTGGCTCCCTTATTCATCAGCAACAAATACAAATGATTGGTGAACGCCTTCGTCCAAAGCGTCAGATTAATGTACTCTGACCTGATAATCTCTGCTTAAATCTCCTCTTGTGGTTCGGGGAGGTCAAAAGTCCAACTTGTCACGCTGGTACTGCAGCCGTGGGCTGTTCTCGCTGTAGAACTGACTGAACCAGCGCCTGTGTTTTTGGATGGCTGAATCTTCCTTTACAAGGAGAGGCTTGGAGACATACTTCTTATTGTTCCAGATCATCACATCACGCTCAAACTGAAGACAAAACAAAAACAAGAGAGAGTCACGGGACAGGACTAAATATCAAACATAATTATAAGATTTTTATACAGTAAAAGTTTTAAGCCTTCTTCAAACATTTTTATTTTTAACAATATCCAACTCGTCCTTGATGATAATGAAGCAGCACAGCTGAATACAATTTGTAAAGGAACAGATTTTCACTGAAGTATAACAAGAATTAAATAATGAAAACTGTACTGGTGTCTTCTTGCATTAAATTACAATACTTTATCAGCAGGGGTTTCTTTGTGAAGTGCTGCTCATTAAATGTCACTCCATAGTAACTCCATCAGCTGCTGACATTTCAGTGAGAACGCCCTTCCACTGCTGTCAATACCAAGTGGAGCAAAAAAATTATTTAATCTAAAAATATAAGCTTGGAACATGAAACTCTGCAATCATTTTCATTCATCTTGTGTTTGTTTTTAATTAAACTATGTATCTAGCTAATCAAAGTATTTTGTCTGAATATTTTTAGGAAATCTTAATGGAGGACAAGTCTAGACATTTTAAGAACCAGACAACTTTTCCCAAAGTATTTTGAGCCTACTATTATTTCTTGTTAAAGTGCAACTATGTGTCTTTATCACCAAGCTAATTATCAGGTGAAATGAGGACTATTTACACCTTTACATCCGTGACTGTGGTGTTACTTCTCGTGATAATGTGGAGGCTGAATTTAATCAAAGGCAGAGTGGGAGGTTAATGTGCACAGTGATCTCTCCAAGTTAGAGCAGCACTGGGGTATATCTCACTAATAAATAGTAATAAATTGCAGTTTTGATATATGAAATGAAAGATAAACAACAAAATTTTAAACGTGATGGCACAAACCAGCGAATAATAGCCCACCCATTGACTAAAAGATGGGGGGGGAAACCCTTGTTTGAACTTAAACTATGGGTGTTAGATGAGAGTAAGTGGGGCATGCAAGGCAAGCAGTGCTTGCCAAGTGAAATCTAGAAAATGGACAATAAAAGTGAACTAAAAGGAAAGCGATCTCTCACCTTACAATTTAGTATTCTGTCCTATAAAGAATCGTTCCTTGTTTGCATCCATCCTGTAAGTTACTGCCATCTTTTGGTCAAAAGTACCTACTATCTCTGGAAGCT